CTGCTCCGCCGCTGTGCGTGGCGGGCAGCGCTCAGGAGCCAGGCCTGCAAAATGTGGGTGGGCGAGGCTGACCAGAGCTGCGGGAGGGGCTTCTGGTGCAGGCGGGCTCCCGGGCTGCGCCCAGGGCACGGCCGCTGTCCCGTGGTGGCGGGTCTACGTGCCCCCCAGGTAACTGGCACGCCGGGGTCACAGCAGTTTTTGTGCCTTTATAATTAATTCGGAAGGAATTAGAAATTGCACTGTGCGTTTACATGAAGTAAAGAGAACTCGCTTCACCCGGATAAACTGAGGAGATGACAACGTGGGGAATACAGACAGTGTCTGCAGATGAACTGCTGTGTGTGAGGGAAAAAGTATGATGTGTCCCAGACTGGCTGGCGGTGGGGAATCTGCACCCAACTTCTTGCAGCATTTGTGCCAGATAAGCAGAGTTAAATGCTGCATTTGTTTAACATCCCAGGCAGAAGAAGCCGGAACGTGAGCCTTTGATATTCATCTGCCCATGCAACATTTCCAAAAAAGTAGGAACACTCGGCAGAATTGAGATACGCATCAGTTTGACAAAAGGTGTAACTCGGCCAATGTGGCAATGTGTAGTAAATGTCCCCAAAATGCACCGTCAAACATACAATAAATGCAGCAGACCTTTCCAACTGAAAACTATTACTGTACAAAATCTGTTGCAGATATTAAATAGATTAAAAGCTAGCTAATGTATAGATGTAAGCAATTAATTGGAAACAGATTGAAATATTGCGGGCAAAGGCACACACATTTTTAGTCCAGTATTCCTCAATGTACTAATGCTTGGGAATAAAATGTGAAATTATTGCTGGTAAAAGTAGTAGACAGTGAATTGAGGAGGAGAGGTCATGTGATGAGGGTTATCTAGATCACACTGCGCACAATAATCTTCTTACCTCTTTATCTAAGGAAATGAGGCTTAAGCAATTGCAGTATTGGGTGTTTCCTTTTCCATTCATCCTTTCCACCTCCAAGGACTTTTGAACATGCTGGCCTACTTAATCATATGTGCAGATATGTATGAATCTTGAAAGGTTAAATTCGTACAACTTTGGGGAAAAAAAGCAGTTACACATGAGAGAAGAAGAGGAAGGCAAAGCACAGGTGTTATGCAGCTGGCCAGCCAGCACGTGGTTGCATTTACTGCTTGGCTAGTAAGCACAGCTCTGGCTTTGGGCTTGTGCATTTCTTGCACAAGAGTGTATCATAGCACACAAGGGAGCGGCTGAGACCTTGGGTTACTGCTGTACATAGAATTATGCACCAAAGACACAAACCCTCAAGAAACTATGTTTGGTGAAGTTCATTGCTTACAGAGGAGCTTGTTAATAGGAGCAGTTCCAAGGTCATATTTCCAAGCCTAAAGCATGAGGTTGTACAGAATTTGGGTTATTCTGCCAGCAATTCGTGCCTGAGTAACAACAGAGGATTAATGTTCCCACCTGTTGCACCTTCCTTCTGCTGGAAGTTACCACTCCCATCTGGTAGAAATAACAAGAGAGAACGTGTCCATTCCTCATCTTCCAGGGCTTCAGAATATAAACATATGCTGAATTTCATGGTCATTTGAGTTAATATTCAGTTTGTGAACTAGAGTATCTCCAGAGCAGATCTGCTGCTGATTTTGCTGACTCTGCTTTATGGGCAATAACCACTTCTAGGAGAGAAGGGCAGAGAGCAAGGGACAGTGACCTGCATCCAGCATGAATTGCCAGACCTTGGGAGGCAAAATGGACAGCCAGTTCGTGGCAGTGAAGTAAAATACTACAAGAGAAAGTGCTTGATAATGGGGTTAAAATACTGTATTTTTCATGGACAAGTTTAAGGGGAGACTTGGTCATTTTCTACAAGAATTTACACGGAGAGAAGATTTCTGAGGGTAGATTCTTCATTAATGTAACAGAAAAAGTCATCATGAGATCCAATGACTGGAAGCTAAAGGTAGACAACTTCAGGCCAGAGCTAAGGTTTGATACTCAAGGCTATCAAACTGTTGGAACAATTTCCCCAGTGGTGTGTTAGTTTAGCCATCATGTGAAGCATTTAAATCAAAACTAAGAACATAAATTAAAAATGGCTATGCTGAGTCAAATCAAAGGCCCTTCTGGCGCTATGTTGTGTTTCTAGAAGCGGCCAGTGAGGAAAAGGAGCTCAATAGAGGATGAGATGGGGATCCCAGGAGTTGTTGGACTTATTTCCATTCCCTCTGGGATGTTATGACAGGTCGTCTCTTTTTTGGAGAACACCACTGAGCAGCACCCACATCTTCTCCCCAGAGTTGATGAGTCCCAACCTAGTATGTCCTTGGAGAAAAGCCATTCCAAAACTTGGTATTCATATTTATGTCTTTTTAATTTATATTGTATATTTTAAGCAGAAGTTTTAGTCTTGATGCAAAAATCAGTGACAATTTCTGCCTGTTCTGTGTAGAAGATCACATCAGTGATGCCTCTGGTTTCAGTTAGCCCTGAAATTATTGGGCAAAATTTGGTTGCAGCAAAGTTGCTGATAATAAAAAAAAAATAATTGACTTCCATGGAGTATTGCACTCTCTAATCCTGAACCCAAAGCAGTGACTTGAAACCATTTTATTAACATGCTGGTGCCCTATCAGCATGGCCATGTTTCAGAGAGGTTAGGAGGAGAAATAGGGAGAAAAAGCATCAGAGAAGTATCTGAAGTGAAGTACAGCATTTGCTGTGTCTCCACCATATCAAGCCCAACATTACACATCCATTTCTGGGTAAATCTGGCTTTCTTGAAGACTCTGTTGCAGGTAACAAACCAACTGGTTGTCTTTCTATCACATTTACAGGAGAAACCTATCATCAGCAATTTACTTGATGATTAGCAAGATTTTGCCTTCAGCAAAATCCATCAGCTAAGTACCCATGCATCAATGTAAGCATGACACTGTATACATAAGTACATAAATAATTAAGATGTATATATTCACTGAGGCGTGGAGACTGTTTAATAGAAAAAGAACCAGCATGTTCCTCAGAAATGTGAGTCCATAGACAAATTAAGGTTAAAAAAATAACTTTTTTTAAAGAAGGAGAAAAGTAGTGTGGCTGTATTTGCAGCAGTGTATACCACAGAATATTTACACTGAAGATTAGATTAATTGACGCCATTTGATGATCTAATGAAGTACTTTGGGAAAAGAAGCTGGAAGGAGAAAAAGAGTAAACAGAAGTTGAAGAGATCTCTTCAGTGCACAGGAAGTATGTCTTAATCCTGTTGGTTCTCGTTATGATTGATTCCTGCCTGCAAGGCGGTTTTATCATGAAGAAGACTTTAGAACACATATCATCACACGAAAACGTTGCTGTCAGTATGCAGGGGAGAGGTGGAAAAAGCTGACTAATGTAACCCCTATGTGTGATACACGATCACCTGAGAATTTGGGTGTTTATGAGATCAGCACCTGCATATTTCTTGATACATATTTCAGAATTTTTTTTCAGCCATTAGAGAAATACGTGTAAAAAGTGTAGCACTTTTAAAACAAAAAGAAACTGGTTTAAAAAATGTTGCTTGCAAGCCCTTGTGAAGTTTTAGGAAGGTTGTCATGGTTTAACCTCAGTCGGCAACTGAGCACCACGCAGCCGCTCGCTCGCTCCTCCCCCCCCGGTGGGATGGGGGAGAGAATTGGAAGAGCACAAGTGAGAAAAACTTGTGGGTTGAGATAAAAACAGTTTAATAATTGAAATAAAATAATAAGAACAATAATAATATAATAATAATAATAATACACAAAGCAAGTGATGCACAGTACAATTGCTCACCACCCGCCGACCGATGCCCAGCCAGTCCCCGAGCAGCGGCCCCCCCAGCCAGCTTTCCCCAGTTTATGTACTGAGCATGACGTCACATGGTATGGAATGTCCCTTTGGCCAGTTTGGCTGTGCCCCCTCCCGGCTTCTTGTGCCCCTCCAGCCTTCTCAGTCGGTAGAGCATGGGAAACTAAAAAGTCCTTGGCTAGTGTAAGCACTATGTAGCAACAACTAAAACATCGGTGTGTTATCAACTTTGTTCTCACCCTAAATCCAAAACACAGCCCTGTACCAGCTCCTAGGAAGGAAATGAACTCTATCCCTGCTGAAACCAGGACAAAGGTGTAGCATGGCAACGAGTATTAAGCAAACCTAAGGCATCATAAATACTGAAGTGGTAAAGAGTTTTTTTCTCCTTTTACTGAAATATATTGTAATTCTTCCCAGTTATCACCAGGTGGCAATATCATGACCTTAAAAGTCTCGTTTTTCTGAAGTGGGAAACAGTTAGGCATGAGGAAGTGATGTATCCCTGTGCTGCAATCGTTCCAGGAAACAGTTAGATTACAGTCCCCAGCAAGGTTCAGATTTCCGTCTAACTTCGTCTTTTATGTACAGAGCTATAGCCAGTATTGAAAATATTGAATGTTAAGCCTCCAGGTTTCCATTTAAATTGTATCATTTAAGTCTCCTTTTTTTATTTAACTCTCCTTTTTTTTTTAAGAACTTGGGTTGTCAAGAATTCATGATGAAGAGCCTTTTTTTGTCTCTCTTACTTGTCTGTGTTCTGTTTACGAACAGCTTCTCAGAAGTGCAGGGAAAGAAGTGGAAAGGTGAAGGTACAACACAAAACCTGGAAAGTGTTGTCATCGGAAGATGCTATGACTATATTAGAACTGTGAATCCTGCTGTTGGGTAAGTTTTGCTTGTTTCTGGATTAGTTTTTTATGTTCTGCACAAAATGGTTGTTGATCAGAAGCCTGATGTTTTGCTCCTAGCCATGAAAGTGATCCTATTGAAGCCAACATGCTTGTAGCTGTCTGGAAACAAAAAAGGAACTTTGATGGATGTTGTATTAATAAAAGTAGTGTAATTAAGGCAAGATTTTTAATCCTTCAACTTTTTATTTCACATTTCTCCCCCCCTAGTGCCACAGTGTTCTGTAAGGAGAACACTGCACAGAAATGCTGGGGATGGTATTTCTGAAGTACCAAATCTGACAGCGCTCCTGGGGAGACCAGCTTTACTTTGCATGCCTTGTATGTCAGGTCATGTAAGAAGGAAAGCACTACACTTTATAGCTATCCTGTGGTACTGAAAGAGACTGATTAGCTCATCCACCTGAAAAATCAAGTAGTAATCAACTGCTGAAGTATGATTACCCATGAGCTTTCATTGTCTGTGTTAATTACACAGAACTGGAGGTAAGTCACACACTTTGCTAAAATTACCACTTTTTCTGTCTTCCTTACATTGTTTGGACTTTGGTAAAAAAGAGAAAAATAAGAAGGACAGTCTCCTGGAGTTGTCCTTTATTCTGCCACTAAAATTTTTCCTGATAGTTTGAAGAGGTATTTGCAGAGGGGGCCTGGCTGGGTTCCTGCAGCACTGAATCGTGGTCTTAAACAGGGTTAGATTATGTTGCATAATGTCAGCAAATATCACTTTCTTCCCCCAACCTCCCATTTTCAGTTCCTGCTGCAAAACAGGAAGATACAGGACTGAAAACAGGTTCATGGCTTTTAACAAAGGCAAACCAACATGTTTCTTTCTAATAACGTTCTTAACTTACCAGAAGCATTTTGGTTCAAGTTCCTCATGAAAGAAAAAATCATCCTAATGCCAATAACACGGTACTAAAATTTCAGCTGAACAATTCAAGTTTGGCAGATTTATAAACACGTCCCAGTGGAAGATGCCAGTAAACTTTAACTATAGATTTCTACACAGCTACAATATAATATATAATACAAACTATGAAAACTTAAGTCAGTTAACAGTTGTGTAGGTATATGAAGTCTGGTCTTGCCGTAGGCTCTAGATAGGTAGAGTTCCTGTTGGAGTTAACAGATGTCACTTCATTTATATCTGAAGCAGGACATGACTAATAATACAGAATACACTAAAATGAGCAACATAAAGGATTATTATTGTGGAAATGTTAACTTTATTGTTAACTGTTTGGGCTTCTAGATTTGGGCTTCTAGAAATGTAAATACAATATTCTTGAAATTATTTCTATATGTCTCATGTTTATGACAGTTTTGTGGGCTAATTAATTCCTGTGACAATTTCACAATATAATTTTAAAATTGAGAAGTCTGAACACACTCATCAAGGTATTCTTGCTCAGAATAGCATGAAGCCAGGCTGGACATCAGGACTGCTTTCCTGAATTAAGGCCCAAAATGACATTGTAAAAATAAGAGCTGCACAATTAATGTAATGTGTTTTTTTCTCTTTTCCTTAGGTCTATAAGCAAATAGTATAATCTAAACAAAATGGAAATTTATATTGCACAGGTGCAAAACAGATATTCTAATTATTTATAACCCTTTCTGTTCATTGTCTGTTTCTTAATTGCCCCCAGGCTAGCTTTTACACAGGCATAGCCACCTGGACAGGTTTTGCTTCTGAATTTATGTGTAAATAGAATAGTTTTTTAAAAATACTTTGCTAACAGAAAAGCTAGCAAAGCATGTCTTTATACTGCAACATAGTTAAAACGTAAAGATGTTTATAGAAACATAAGAAAAACTTTCCTTTATGTTAAAACAGAACATGCAAAATGGCAGTTAAAAGAGGCATTTTACAAAATGTTATGGTCATATAGAAGTGTGGGATTTGAATGAAAATCATATTTGAAATTTTCAAGTAGGAGTATGCTATATAACACAAATGTTCCTGTAGTGCATTTCCCCCATATTTCTTTATTGGTAGTATATAATAGAAGTTTTGAAAACATTTTTTTTAACTGACTAATATGAAATAAATCTAATACGACTTATTAGTGTCTATTAAGATTGGAAGGAATTGTCCTGAGCTACAGTCCTTCCCCACCCTGTAGTTTCAAAAAGTATTTTTGCCAGCTAAGAAATTTTGAGTAACAGAGCAGAATAATCCTTCTGATTTACAAGCTGTTCAAACCTGGATGAGAAGACATGAAGAAAAAAATACAGTAAGTGAATTAACCAGAAAATTACTGCTGGATTCAACTGTCAAGAAAGATGTTAAGAGTTCAGTTGATCATAATTTACAAGTACTAGCATGAATAAGTGAATGCTTATAGTAGACAGCTCTAGCAGAGTAAGACATGAGTATATACAATTGTCAGAAGCTAAAGTTTAACAGCTTGAAATCAGAAATAGGGTGCAAATCCTTTTGTCAACTAAAGCTATTTAAACATTGGAACTACTGATCAAGAGTCATATTGCATCACTGAAGATTTTCAGATCAATATCCCATTATTTGCTTATGGTATATTGGTTTATTTTATATAGTTGTTGGAAGCATGACCAGAGATTATTGTAAGAGAATCTGCGGTCTATTTCCTGCATGGGAGCTGCATAGCTCCTCACAAGGGGTCCTTTAACTTTAAAGTATCTGCCACATTCAGCATCACAAAGCAGCTACTTAAAGAATCTCACAAGGAGAAGCGCCAGCAGAAAGCCCACTGTCTATGGATGACATTAAATGAGCAAAACATTCTAATGGCAAAGTTTGGTTTACTTACCAGGCCTACTGTTGTTCTGCAGAGTGTTCCCAGCATAGACATTGTCACAGCATATGCGGGGAAGATACTGTGGGAAAGTGGTGAAAGTAGCAATTCCCTTTTTAATTACTCCAGGCAGGCTCAGAGCTATGACACATGAGATCCTGCAAATCCAGAGCGATAAGACACTTCCATCCCTAGATGGCCTGTCCTGTCGTTCCGCAGGAGATTATTGTCCCCAGTGCAGAGCTGGCAGAAGGGAACTGTTGAAGTGCACAGCCTAGCGTCTTATTTCAGCCTCCCACACACGAGCAGTTTAAATGCTGAATCCTAACAGTATTCTCGTAGCTACTGCACAGTGACAGTGTGTCCCCCACATGGTCAGTGTAGTCATTCCAGCAACGTAAAGCTGCATCATACAGAAGGCATCTCTTTGTCAAAACCATTGTTCTACCATGGAAACTTTTTAGTAACTCCTCCTGCACTTGAATCTGACATTTTAAGAGTAATTTTATGTTCCAGTAGCTTTGCATATTTAGCTATGCTTTAATTGAAATGGCTTTTTGAATATGGAACATTTCAAAGCAAGCTGTTTTCTTCACTATTTCTACAATGCTGCATAGCAAGCTTGCTGTGTATACTGTACCTTCTAAGATTGTTGTTGAATTACTATGTATTTCTAATTGCACACTGTAAATCCTATATTTTCATTGCTACTTCTTCCTAATCTGCTGCTGCTAGGAATCAGGAAAAGACAAGACCTATATGCTCTTTCTGGGTTGCAAGTTTTCTACCACCCTGACTTCAGTTTTCTATCTTAACCTTGTGGGGTTTTTAATTTGGGAATTTGAAGAAGTTATGAACAAATGACTTTCTTGCTGTCCTTTGAAAAAACATTTCTATTTGTTTGTTTCAATGATTACAGTGAGAAGAATTGTTCACAGATATGGGAAGCATTTAAAAATGCATTTATTAACAAGGATCCTTGCAGCATTCTACCTAAGGACTATGAATTATTTATCAACCTGTCATTGCACACAATTCCACCTAACAAGGTAATGATTATTAATGTTATGGTAACAGTCCTGTGACATCCAGCAGATTTTCCATGACACAGTTCAAAACTGACTAAGAGTCCTTCTGTGGCTGACTCATGATTCATTATTTTTGGCCTCTCTGTAGTTTACAAACTAGGCTCAAGCCTGATGGCATTTTTCAATGTGTTTGGCTGCATTTATTTTGTGCAGTAACTTCTCAGCAACTTGTCTATTTTCATTCTGCAAAGATCCCCCATTTTTCCTGCTGTGCCAGGAGCTCTATTGTAGTCCCTGAACTTCCACGTCTACTTTTCCTCAAGTTAGGTGCTCTGCCTGCAAAGATGGTGCCTGGTATCATCTTCTGCTTCCACTCCTCACAGCCAAGTCCAAGGGCAATGACATGTTAAACATTGACATGTTAAACAAGCATAAGCAGAAATGAGATAAGACGCCATTATATGCTAGAAAACAGTAAGTCTTTGATGTGCTGGCAATTGCACAGAACTGTGAAAGTGCAAAAAACATGGTTCTTTGTGCCATCGTATCCCATCAGAAAGCGTGCTTTGGCCTTCTCTAAAAGGTTGTGCTTTAAAGCAGTTTTTCTTCTAGCACAATTATTCCTTATCTCTAAATGATACAAGCTAAACCAAGAAATACTCCTGTCAACATAGCTTAATTCATGAAAGAGTTTTGCAAACACAGTAATAACAGCTAGACATGATTTTTTCACACTGTAAGCCAACAGAGTAGTATGAGAGAATTCTGGTAAGATATATCTCACTTATAAATATGTCTTCCCTTTTTTCTCCCTTTTCCTAAATCTGTCTTTTGAGGAAGGCAAAGCTAGGCCTAACTATATTTAATATAGGTCTATATCCATTCCCAGCATGGTATGAATGCCCCTCAAGCCTCTAGTAATCATAATTTACATCACTGTAATAACAAACTTTGTTCCTCTAAAGAGGTAGCTAGCATTTCTGGTTATTAGCTTGATTTTGAAAGAAATACCAAAACGTATTTTAAACTGTTTTTAACACCCCGTAAGCTCATTGTGTCCACACCCAAGTGATGGTTCATTTCTTCTCTTTTTTTTTTCCTTTTTTTATATAGTCTCTCTTCTGGGAAAATAATCAGCTGCTAGTCAATAGCTTTGCTGGCAGAGGCCGCCGCTACATGGCTCTGGGTGATACTCTGTTCGGCTTCTGTGGAGATTTTCTAAACTGGTGTGGGCAGGCAAACAGCACTGGTAAGACGATGAGTGCTACATTAAACATTTGTCTGTAAAACCATAATGGAGACTGACTGCTGTGTTCTGGAGGAGCTCATTTTGCTCTTACCCCAAGAAAAATCAGATATAGCTTCACTGTCTCATTCTCTGCTGTTTTGTGTGAATATTTAACATTGCAGTCAGGGGAGCACACAGTGAAATCTAAACAGTGCTGCACAGGAGCTAAATGTCCTTCTCAGTCCTCTGAACCTGGAGCTCTCTGCATCCCAAGTATAGATTTAGAGCTGTTTCAGCCAAATTATTGAGTCCACAGAATGTCATTGTTTGTGTAAACTGCAAAGGATGGAAAATGATAGAAAAAAATACAGCTGTCAGCTTTCCAGTGTTATGTCAAACCATCTTGTATGTTCAGAGAGTAATGCAGGAATATATTTAATTGCTTTCTAAAGTCACTTTTTACGGTCGTTATCGTCTCTCTAATAGCACAAATCACATGCCTTCCTACAGGACTGGACTATGAATCCTGCCCTACCACGGAGGAATGTGAAAACAACGCGGTGGAATCTTTCTGGAGGATGGCCTCAATCACTGTAAATAACGCATTAGTGCTGACTTCGTACATTAGTGAGCGTGTCCTGGGTGGTTCAGGAAAACATCACTGGATCAAAACAGATTTAAGTCTGTAACTGTGCTAGATTATTTTCTATGATACAAATACGCTTTTTTAGACTGGGTACAGTGTTGTAGCAAGGGGAACCTAACTTTCACATTAGCTAGATAATGTGTTAAAATTCTGTGTTAGCCTTGTTAATACATAAGCGTATACTGAGCAGAATCAGCACACTAGTTGTCTACTGAATACAGGTCCTAAGTGACATTTGGCAGCCTTTATTCACAGGTCAAACCCAACAGAAAGTGCCAAAATGCTTTCCTCCTATGCTGAAAAAACTATAGGTTTGAGAAAATAGTTTGAGAAGATGCATTGAATTCTTGTCCTCTCTGCTGTAGTGGCCTGCTAGGGTGCTAGTTTGATATTATTTTCACAATTCTGATACTCTTCTTGGTAAAATTCTTTCCTTGGTCATTGTTGCCTGCAATACAATACCAAGTCATATGACAAATCTGTAAGATGAGTTCTGAAAAAAAATTGTTATGTATTGCAGTATGCGCAGCACAGTTCTGGGGTGATACATGTCTTGTTGAATGGTTCTGCAGTCGGAGGAGCTTATCCAGACCCAGGGTAAGAAAACTGACTTATTTATGGGTACAAGGTCTGATACCTGCAATAAAGGGTCAACCAGTTGTTTGGGTCTTCTGCTGCACAAAGCGTGAGAAATGTAGCTGAAAGATCCTGTTGCATCAAAGTCTGCTGAGTTGTGGGGACAACTGTTAATTGTCCCGAGGAATTAACATGAAATGGATGAAAACAGTCCTTTTGACTCCTGCATTTTACAAACTGCTGTGGCAAGCAGGATGAATGCTCTTTGAAAGCAGCCTTCAAGTCAGCCAACATACTGTGGCAAAATGTGTATGTCTTCAAAAAGATGAGTGTTACAAAATTTCTATTCAGGGACATCTCCAAGGACATTGTTACAGGGAGTGTAGCCTGTCAGGCCTAGGGGCAAACTTGGTAAGTTCTATAGCGAAAGTGCTTGCTCCTGCTATTTCTCCATGACCAAGAGAGGAGGTAGTTTGAGATCCATTATGGTTTAAGAAAGCAAAAAATCTCACTGAGAAGGATAATAGCAAGGATTAGCTCCCTCTTCTCCTTATTCCCTCACATATTAAGGACAGATGTATTTTCCTTGATTTACAAGTGTACCACTATGCAGAAGTTCATCTAAGCTTATATTTAAGATTTATTGTAAAAATACACCTTTAAGAACTTTTACTGAATATGTGGCTGTAGTGACTGCCTACCTTTGATGAAAAATACATCTTTTCTTACCTCAGCAACTGTCCTGTCCAAAGCAGTTAAAAAAAATATCTTAAAATAAACCCATAGAACAGATCCTGCTCCTGTGTGCTCACTGAGGACTAAAAATAAACATTGAAAAGTTAATTTTATCTCTGGATAGGAGAGAAACAAGAACCATCTGTTCCAAAACACCTACTACCTACTTACCTCCATCCCCCAAAAGGTCCATCTCTGTACACAGCTTTCAGCTAATCAAGAAGACTTAAATGGTCTCCTTGGGTTGGTCAGGTGGTCAGCTGGGATCAAGTCTTCTGCAGATGATAATTCCTGGCAGCAGGTCGATGCCCAGCATCCCGTATAGAGTCCTTATTTCAGAATGAGATTCCTTATTTCTGTTAATCTACAGATTCCTTGTTTCAGAAACCTCTTATACATAAATGAATTCTTTCTACCAGTTCCCTGGGTCGCCTGTCTGGTTGTATCGTGACCAGTGAAATCTCCACCACTGGAACAGAGCCTGCCATGAAAAAAACAAAGCCAGTTACTCCATCTGTTTTCTTTGCTGTGTATCTTCTGGCCCATTTATGACTGAATTCATTTAAGAGATCTTGTTTGAAAGAGGCTTAGAGTTGAATAATTAATAGCAGAATGTAATCTGAAAGATCTACCTGTCTTCCTAAACATCTCTCTCGTCTGTTTTCAGGCATTTCAAAGCCACTTCCAAAGTTTATCCTGCGTTACAGTTTGTACACTTAAATCATTATTAAGTTACCTGTTACCATTTCAGTTAAGATTTATTTCTCACATCACTGCAAAATAACTTGCTCATTCACACAGTTTGAACGTAGTTGGCAGACTTATTTAATAATATTAGTTGGTTCAAGAATTGATTTACTGAAGTCAATTGTACATTGTTCCTCCACGGTTTCTGACTCCTCTAGTTAAAGATTCCTTTATATTTTGGGGGAAGCTGCATTTTTGCTGGCAATAATATATGCATGAATGAGCAAATGAGTTAATAATAACTGGAATCTTTATTTTTTGTTATATTTTCACTATGTGTTTAAGGCAGGCTTGGACACCTTAGACAGAGAAGCAAACCTACTGTTGCTGCTACTGGTCTCTGGTTAGCCGCCACCATACCAGACTTGACCAGAGAGGGCAACTATTGGTATCCACCTCCTCATGTTCCACTTCTCCAGAAGTTTAAATTAACTTGCTAACTTCATGAACACATCTTGGCTGGCTGCCAATGGACACTGACAACCACCACGTGTCTTGTGCTTCCACGCCAGAGCACCAGTAGTTTGCCTGCAGGCACCAGGAGGACAGAGCGGTGGTCAGGTTGTCACCACCGGTCCCATCCAGGAGGTGACAACTAACAGTCCCTTCTCGTCTGGGGGGGTCTCAGAGCATTTAAAGTGGCTAAGAGACACTTCAGCCCAGATGTAGACATTTAAAAAGACCCAGGATAGGCAAATCAGAGCACAGACCTAGGCTCAGGCTCAGTGCAGACACAGCCCTTACAAGCTTTCTGAGAAAAAAAAAAGAGCAATTAAAAGGTTGGAAATCATTACAGTACATCTTGCTGGAAGGGTTAGAAATCTGTGGCATTGAAATGCCTGCATCTCACAAAAAATTCAATTTACAGACATTAAAATAATCCTTTGGATTTGGCATCTTCCATTTAATGTAAGAAGATTTAGTTGCCATTTTATTGTCTTGTTTTAATTGTCATTTAAATACCTATCAAAGTCAATTTATACAAGGTAATAAAGTGGAAGATTCTTCCTAGGCCAGAGATGGACACGTCTAGAAGTTTCTCCTTTATGGTCTTATGTATCCTAGACAAATACTTCATGTTACTGTTGCTGTGATTTCGTATCTGAAAATATATTTGGCTGTTGTTGGTTTTTTATTTAAAGCAAAACTGTATTGTGTCTAAAAGCAATAACTACAAGAATGACCTTTTTCTTTTTTTACTAAGTATTAAATGTTTTTTGTTTTGTATTTGCATTTGTTAAAGTTCACTTCATTCTGGTTCACCTCTAAGTTGTAACTTTTTTTCAGCTGAGCCCCTCTAAGATGAAGAATATGAAAACAAAACTTCTGATTAAATGCCTTTGACCTTTGAGGACATTCAGAATGTCAATCAGATTTTTTCTACTCTGTGTTGAGTCTGATTGTAATCAGAAGATATAAATGTAAAGCAAGCCCATATCCTACAGGAGTATTAGAGCTTTGATTACTGCAAAGAGAAAAAAACATTTCTTTTTCCTGTTCTTTATATAAATGTTTGTTTCTTGAATCAGTTTTTTTGCAGATTATGAAATACCTAATCTCCAGAAAGAAAAAATCTCACAAATTGTCATCTGGGTTGTGGATGATATTGAAGGGCCAGATATGTAAGTTATATCTTCAAAAAAAAATATCCATTTCTCCTTTTTGAACCTGTCTCTAAAATTTCACCTTAGTTTTGTATTTGGTTAGATTTGTATAGCGATTAAACTAAAAATATTTTAGATGCTTTCACTAACATACAAGGCATACTCTGCCATTCCCAAAGAGTATATAAATACTAGAATTAGGCAAAATAAAAATAAATTCTAATATTAGGTCTGGAGTCCACTTATTAGTTTAGAGATATGCGTGTGTGGACCTCAGTACTTAAGTGAAGATATATCACCAACAGTTTTAATAAGAAAAGGGTCAGTCTGAATTTCAGATTAAATGTTCACGTAAAATATTTCTTTCGCCTTGCCAAATGCATCCTTTTCATTTACACCTATCTTAACTGTTTGGAAATTAGTAGAAGTAGGGAAATACCACCAGGGGGCTTATCTTCTCTCAATACTTAAAATCAATCCAACAACAAAAAGTAGGCTTTAACAGGTCTAATTCTGCTGTTAATTATATTTAAACAAAAAACAGATCAGTCCAAACAGAATAGCCTGTTGGTAAATAGTCAAAGACCAAGTGAAGATTTTCAACAGAAACACAGTGGAAAATGGACTTTGAAGTTAACAAAATAAAATAATTAGGCCTGGTTTGGGACTGATTAAAGGAAGAATTAATTCATTATAGCTTTTGTGGGGGCCCCTACAAATGTGCATAGACTCAGGTGTCACCATGTCCACCACTGGTGGCTGAATCCCTGGTTTCATCTGCATTCTTAGGAGAGTGAGGCTTCTGTTCTTGCTACTCAACCCTTTTTAGTTATATCCATGAATTTTGAGTCGTTTCTTTTTCACGTCCCATCTCTTCTCTCTCCTATCTCCTTTTGCTTCTCTTTCATCAAATTTTGGCATGGCCAACCCAGACCGCGTATTTTACCATAGTGCTGTGGAGTCTATGACAAGAGAAGCATGGTTCAGATTAGCATTTCTCAGCTTTTGTCTTTAAATCAGAGAATCATACCTTTCTGGGAAAAAATATATAGCTCACCTTTGCAACTTCTATTACGAAGAAAAATTAAGACAAGCACTGAATGTTAATTTATCTTTCAGTTTGTGCTTGTCTGGATGCATGGGAATTTTTGTGTATTTTTATTAATTGCTCTTTACAATTAGTTTGTTCATCCTCATGTGGTTTCTTTAGAGTCATGAGTATTTACTGGGGTAAGTAACACTGACCTTAATACTTGACATTGGTGCAAGTTTTAGAGGTCTCAGTAGGTTCTGTGCTATGTCAAGCTTTCTTTTGCTAATTGGACCACAAAACAAAAATCAGTGCTAGGCACAGAAGCTGCATTTAGGATTGTTTCTGGTTTTTTTCATTCTCCCTGTGTTTTTCTATTGTTCTGTATTCAAGATGGAGGACAAGCTTCTAACAAGAAGAATAATTCTAGTTTATTATAACCAACTTATTCTGTAAAGACAGCTATCATCAACTTCAGCACCATCTAAATCACTGCCAAAGAATACTACAAATGAAACTCTTATCTATTATTTTACAAAATTATTTAGCTCTTTTCCTGTTTGTCTGGTGAAATATTAAATGTGAGAATACTGGTTAATAGAATCTGCAAATGCTGCACAGGCTGAAGCCAATCTTCCAGTCTCTGCAAACTGAGTATAAAATGGTAAACGACTGTAAGCAAATGAAATATTACAAATAGCAATGTACACCAGTTTTCTGTAGCTGTTAAGGAATATGGAAGAGGCAAAGTAATGGGGATTGGATTTACTTTACTAATTCCATCAAGTTCAGTGAAAGGAAATTAGATAATAAAAGTCTTGCAATAATATTAAAATCCTTTATCACAGAGATTCCTGTGGAAGTCATACTGTAAAGATACTAGAAAACAGGCTGAAAAACCTTGGTTATGATGTCACCTGCACTGACAATTACAAGTAAGTGAAAATCCTTCATAAATGCAGAAGCACCTCATCTATTTTAAATCTCACGTTTTTCAGACTTAGCATTTTTCAGCTGTGCTTTAAGCAGAACATTACACCTAATTGTATAATTGTAAAATTAAGTGGAACATTGTATTTACCCAATGTCAGGCACAGAAAATGGCCTCATGTATTCCACTTCACTGTAAAATCTTTATTTGGATTGAAAATCTAAACAGCAGTTAAAAACACTTTTGAATGTCTGCAGAATTACTAGTTATTCACAGTAGTATCCACAGCTCTGGTTATTCACAGTAGATTCTAAGATAAATATCATTGAAGCTTTAGACATGGTAATACTGTTGAGTCTGTGTCATTTCTTCATTTGTTTTCCTCAGTTTTCTGCCTGAAAGATGCTAAATAATTTTATATCTTCACAGGTCTGTAATGTTCTTACTCTGCCTGGATTACCCTGATGATTCTAAGTGTACCCTTTCATCGTAAGTAAAAGAAATTCAATCCATCCTCAGTGTCATTACAACCAAATAAATAACGCAGAGGTCAACAGTTCAACACATTCCACTTCTATCATCTAATATATATCACCCATATGCAATATACAGTATTCTTGAATTCATTACTTACTGAGTAAGCAGTTTCTATCTACAAATTGTGCACAATTGTCTGTGGGCACCTGGTGTTCAAACTTAGGTGTTAATCAGTTCTCATCGATCACACAATCACAGAGTATATCACTGATGGTATGAATGAAGTTTGTAAATATCAGTGTTCTGATGCAAAATCTATTACAAATTTGAAATTGTTTCCATTAATATTCTTCCTTGAATAAAGAAATTGTAGGTCAAATGACAACAGATCTAAAGAACATTTCTTCATCTCCTGGAACTTTCAATTCCGAATTTTGAGGAAGTTTTTTTTTAATCTTCCATTTTGTGTGCAAACCCAAGTTCTATATTTTAATGTATTTACCTTGGGCCAATAGGTTATCTGCAGAGAATGCAGGTTACATCCAAGATACGACCTTCTTAATTAGCAAGCATCACTCCCAAACTATGTTTTAATAGTTCCCCTTCCTGTCCATATTTTTCTTTATTGTATAACAAGGATTAAATGAATTTATGATGTATTTCAGTGAATTTACAGTGAAGATGACTGTTTTCAATTGTGTTTAACTTTCTTAACCTATATGCTGTTGCATGTATAGGTACATATAAGATACTGAATATGAAAACTTCCTCACAATTTGGAAAGTTGCAGGATACATAGATGCATAAAAGTTTTTCTCTAGTTATATTATTTTATGCATAATCCATACATTTGGCCACATCCTATCTCCTACTGTCCTTTTTGTTAATACCCGTGTAATATTGCAATGACAACTTCTGCTATGAAAAACCTGATTTGCTGTCCCTGGTTATGGCAGCAGAGTGGTGCGACTCCTGCTTACCTGCCTCTCGTTGTGTGGCAGTAGTGCTTCATGCGGTACAGAAAAGGAGGTGTATATCACTTTCTGTAGCATATGTTCAGTTTTGAATAGACCCTTACAGAGAAAGTGAGTATTCTCTGTTCCTGCTGGTCACTGAAAGCTTTTACTCATCTTGTCATACGACAACATTTATCCTTACATCCAAATTATATCCCAGCACCAACCTATAAATGTGTGATGAAAACAGTGGCATTTTAGATATCACTGATAGCTCCAGACTCCTTCTAGGTAGTAGACCATAGAACAGGCTTTCAGGCCTGTTAAGGCATTTGTTTGTTACTAGATACCACTTGCATGGTGGATTAAAATAGGGTTTCCTTGTTTTGCCAGTGAATGGTAAGGCTTTTGTTCATGTGTCAAAGGAAAATACAGTTGTCCCATGCAAAACCACAGCTGTGAACGTGGTGACAATATTAACAAACTGGAGGAAAAAGCACTTTACAGGACTTTAAAAAATATAGTATTGTGAACTCTTAACAGAAGATTTTTCTCTTCTCCCAGGTTTTAAACCATTTCCCTCAGAGTTTTGTGATGTGGGTGCATTCCTCAGCTGAGGAAATCTGGATGAAAAGGCTTTCGGAAACCATTAATGCCTTTTTCTTTCACCTAAGGGATGAGCATACCAGTTCTTCAGTATTACCACATAGCTCTTGCAGTATGTAAGCAGGGGAGCATCTACCTTTTCCTTTCCATCCATGTCGGTACTTAACATAATCACTAGCATATTCTAAGCACCAGTCTCATACTCTCCTGGGGTAGCTACTAAGCAATTCAGCTGTTATCATCCTCCTTAGGAAAAGTTTCCTTGCTTCTTTCCCTCTTGAGCCTTCTATTCCGTCCTGTATGCATGGCAATGTAATAGCCTTGATTGACTTCATATCTATGCTATCCCTAATCAAGACAGAGCTTCCCAATCTGAATGCTAACTATCATTGCCTCTCCCTGAAATTTAAGTAACTAAAATACTTCAAGCCAATGAATACTTACACTTTTCCACAAATCACTTACTTCTCTGCAATAAATAACATCTCAATTGAAATTAGCTGCCCCTTCAGAAAGAGCCTTAAGCAGATGTATGTAAATTATTTGACGATTATCTTCTAGATCTGTTTTCTCTGTGGATGGATCCCCGCTCTCTGATGGTCCATTAACTGACATGGGAACAGTTTGGTCAGTAGTGGTATCGCTACTAAGAGCATGTATCTGTTAAGAAAAGGCTTCCTTTGCATAGCATGTGCTCAGTGTACACACGTTGCATTTTCATACTTCCGCAATAAGTAGTGAGACTAGGCATGCAGGCTCTGTTGCATGCCCTTTCACGACGGCTATTTGCTGTTACAAATAGCTGGCTGATAGCTGACTTCTCAGCCTCCAGACAATAATGTCCTGAGCCAAAAATATCAGAGTTGTGCAAGTGACTTTTTTGTCACAACTCCCGTTACAGCAGCGGAGCAGGGCTGTGTCAGGGTATCAGAGGGATGACCTAGAAGGTGCTGTAATTTACTTGGGGCTTCATGGGTAGTGATAGTGCCCCTTAACTCCTCTCCAGACTTGAACTATGTTGCTGCTGAGTCAAGATTTAGACTTTGGCTTGTTAAATTGACACCCTGACGTTTGAAGAAAACTTGTAAGTAAAAAAATACCCACTAGATGGCATAGATGGCTTACAAACATAAGCAGAAAGGAATCCAGATGCAACCTTTTAGTAGTGGTATTTATTACTTGCGTTATTGCAATGTCAGGGAGACAGAAATGGATCTGGATACTATTGTATCAAATGCTGTAAAAATACAGACCTCTAGGACCACCGCTGTCTAGTAGAGCTCTATGCAGTCTCAAGCGTAAGGCCAGAGACAGTAAATGGATGTGGAGAGACAAGGAGGCTCAGCTATTAAGGTAGAAAGGAGTGTTTCCAGGGTTTTGCACGCAGATATCCTGTTTATAAAATCATGACAGCCAAAGGGAATCTGGTGGTGAGCTCTTATAAAGAAACTTCTAACAGCACTTGGACTGCAAACTTTATCTTTGGCAACAAACCCCTGATATTTAAAAGAATTCTAACTCAGCTCTGTGCTGTGAACAACCTGTTTGTTTTCTTTTCTTTAGATCTGCACCAACAGCACAAAGAGGACCTATATCTTCAGGCAGAGGAGGCAGCTGGAACAAGCTCATGTTTGTTTCTTTTGTAGGCTTTTTGTTCAGATTTGCTTTAGTGTACTAAGTTAATTAACTGAATCCGTGTCCTCTGTTTGCCTTAGCTGGCTATAAATTTGGCTTTAACTAATTTCTAACTGCACTGTCACCCTAGTTCTGGGAATGGCAAACCTGCATATTAAAACCCTGCATACGTCTATCTAGATACCAACTACTTTTAGTATAAAAAATTATCCTACTGCTGCTAGAAAGCCTCACCCTTCATTTCCTTTTCTTGAATAGAAGAAATGCATTGCTATTTCCCCTTACCCTTATTCTCCAGAATTAAACTGAGAATAATACTTCCCATTCACATATTTCAGAAACAAAAGTGAAACTATGCCTGTCATACATCTCCCACACAGCTTACTTCTTCGTAAAAATAATCCTATCATTTGGCCTTGGAAACTAAGTGTCTGATTATCATGTTTTGGGAAGGGAAAATATGAATTCAGGTGGGAGAGAGCTTAGATTGCTGACTTAGTACAAGACATACTAGGTGAGACAGTGGAAAAATTAAACTAATTTTCATAAGTAGCCCAGTACTTGGGCCAAACTTACCTGAAACTATCATATAGCGAGATTCTGGCTTGCATACTTGCATACAGTATTTTACCACATACTATCGATTGCTTCGTCATCCACACAGCTGTTCCTCAGCTGGCTATTTCCTGGCCACTGGACAGCCAATAGTCAGGAATACCAGGTCTAGAAAGCTCCACAGGTTTTCCACCATGATGTGATAAGTAGATTTCTAGCATATCGAATTCAGATGAGACCTGCCAAGTCAGACATCTGCCTGCTTGCAGTGAACTGAGTTAGCATGTTTCAGAATATATTGAGGAGAGAGCAGATGCCATCTTGAAGGTCTCTTGTGAGTTATCTAAGTGTTCCAGCTAGATGTTCCTCTAAATCACGAAGACATCCAGCTACCGAGATGACACATAAATCTTGGGACAAAAATAGTTTTTCTTCTAGAAAATAACTTTAATTACAATTTTGTTGCACATTCTCTGTTAGCTTCTGTATTATTTATTTCTGTTTGTACTAGCTGATTGTCAGGAAACTGGGATAAGATGTTCCAGTTATCTCAGTGCATCTGATTTAGGACTATGTTTGAAAGATACAATATCTAAAATACATTATTGTTGCTTATTTGTCTGGCTTCCATTCCTGTAATAATCTTTAAATCGGTTTCAATGCAAATCCCTTTATATTACACACATAGTTGTAATTGCATGTGTCACAGCTGGGTTTGGGCTCAAGCTCGAAGGATTTTTATGTCTGTTTCAGACACTTGCAAAACTACTGAAATCAGAAGTTACACACCTTTGTATTATGCTTCAAAATTGTCCGCTGCCCATGCTGAAACATTAGTCCTTTGATTAGGTCCTTCAACATCCTCCTCGTTTTTACTGCTTGTTTGATGCTGTCCTTAACAGCAGCTGCCAGAATAATAAGAGAGGTTTGCAACACAGACACAGCTCAGATAACTAAACCCAAGCAATTTTGATCAGTCTTCTATTTGTCCACAGCAGATCACATCATGATACATTTTGGACCACGGGCTGTAGAGAGTGCACATGAGGCTCACGGATAGGTGTCCAAGCCATCTTTCAGTCTAGTGTTGTCCTACCCACTGACCTGCATATTATAGTGTGTGCGGGATTCAGAAAATAGCTTAATACCATTAACAAGCCATATGCCTCTTAGGCAACTTCCATCCACAAGCCAAGCATCCCAGCTGGCCAACTTTTGCTTTCCAGCCTATGAAAGCTTTCCAGCCCCTGGATGCAGTCCGCTCCAGCAGTGCAGTCAGTGCTGGCCGTTACATATGATACCAAATATGTCGTAGGAAGTGCAAAATAATTCTGTTTTGAAAAAAAAAAACACGTAAAATACAAAGTAGGATAGATATGATTCAAATAATTTGAGATTATTTACTGCATAACCTTATATCAAGACCGATACACTCAGAAACCTCTTCCAAGGTTTTCTTATTTTTAATTTTCTTGCTGCCTTTCCCATTACTTCAACTCAGTAGCAAAGACAGCGATTTTTTTTCCAATATCTTTTGAATAAAATGTCTCAGACTTGCTGGAAAAGCTTGGGAAGATCTGTAAAGATTTTTAGCTAGCCAACTAATATAGCTGGGAAAAAAAAGGCAGCAAAGTTTTAGATACATAGGCTTCCTGAGATCTTAAAGGCAGCAAGCTGAGTGTGGATCGGTTGTTCTGAGTTTAATATAATGGTTTTAATATGTGCAAAAGAACAGTGTGACTGGCATCTCGGAAGCAGAGGGCAGAAGAAGCGTCAGCAAAGTGAGAAACAATAAGGTCATTTGTTACTCCCAGAGGGAGAGAGAGACATGACCAAAAGTTGTGAGCAAGAGAATCCCTTATATCTCTCTTTTTTATTTCTACATCTGCAAAGTGTGTGAATAGTGCTATTTACACATATATTTTACACATATGTGGTGAGAATCAGCTAGGTATGCCTGTGCTCTGTCTTGAACACTCGGTAAATGCTCTGATTAGCAATGTCTCATGTAACAGCTGTGCCAAATTTGGAGAAATCATAATGTCTAAAAGGCATCTGCCCTTC